AATGGGAAAAATCTGATTTTTACTCCATTTTGGGTTCAGCCGGTTAGCCGATAGAGAAGAGAGGGAAAAGAGAGAAAGAAACTCCGTCTTCTCTCTACGAATTACAAGATTCTAGAGCTCAAATCCACACGAGCCAAGAATTAAAGTTGCTCCTCTCATCGAGAGTCACGTGTTTATACCAAAAACAACGGATTTCACCAAAGATTCCAAGGGCGGAATTTTGAAAAATCAAGATTTTGGAACTTGGGGGATATTCTTGAAGGTTCTACCGACGATTCACGCTTCAAGAGGTAGGATTCCTTCCTACTCGGATTTATTTTACAACTTAGTGTTTATATGTAATGGGTAGGTTGATAGAAATATGTATCACTTGCCTATGTTGTGAAATTGATGAAATGGGTATGAAAATGGATGTAGAAATGGATTAAAATAGATTCCTAACTTGGAATTGATATGTGGTAATTACTTGTGTAATTTCATGGAACTTAATATTGTGTGGGCATGTTATGTGCTTTAATTATGCCTTCGTGAATTAAGTGTGTTGTTGGCATATATGAAATAACATGCTTGTGAGTTATTGTGGGAAATGAAATGTTGACGTATGATTATTGATATGTCGACATTGAGATGAAATTGGTGATAATTTGCATGATATATGTATACATGTGGTTAAAGTTGCTCATATGACATTCATTACATATGGGCATGATATTGAAATAGCAATGGTGCATTACATTGCATATGCACGGAGACATCGCATTATATGGGTGTGGGTGCATGGTTGACATCAAACACTACATAGGTGGATGATGGGTGAGCTCGAAAAAGTTGAATTGAATATCCGACTGAGTCGCACGGTTGCATAAAAAAGAAATAGGTCGGGGTTACCAAGAAGAGCTAGACTATCTCTCGGGTAAGACGCTCGGTACTTTGGATATGCACTTTCGTTGGTATAAAAGCCCATAAAGTGTGTCGGTGTACGCAGAACCATTGGTGGAAGTCCATGAATTCCGTGTTGATTGGGTGACCGTTGGTATAAGTCCATAAATACCCATCCCAAGAAAGACCCGAAGATTTTAAATAGTCATTGGTGTGTACCACCAATGACGGGGGCTTGGAAAGCCTTATTTTGATACTCACTGCATAACATGGGGTGAAGGTACATGACCGGAGCTAGAGAAGCTCAATTTTATACACATTGGCATTACATGTGTTGTGGAGCCAAAAAGGGCTCGGGTAAATTGCATGAATGGGTATCATCTCATTCCATAGCATGACATAGAATTGCATATACTTGTTTGGGAATGTTGATGAGTGTGAAATGTTGCATGTGAACAATGCATATGTACTTAGGTTGGAGAGTAACCTCTATAGGAAATATTCTACTGAGCGTTGACTCACTCTATACGGGAAACATTTTAGGTGCGGGGTTCATACCGGTGGAGGACTCACATTCGGGGCCTCAACGATGAAAAAAAAAACCGGTTTGTGGCTTTTGAAAGCAAGTTTTTTGCAAAACTTTTATAAAATTTCATTTTGAGCATGTAATTGTGTAAATGGGCTTGGAATAATATGGAATTAATTGTAATAGAACTTGTATGGATCATGTATAATGTAGAAAACTATATTGTACATGTTTGGGATGTTTGTGTGAAGGCTTGGAATGAATTGGAAATGAAAAATAGGTGAAACAAACAGTTATGGGCAAAACCTTCTAGAAGGTCGCAACAAAACCTTCCGGAAGGTTTGGACAGACAAGGAAAATTGTTGGACAGTGGGTGAAACCTTCCGAAAGGTTCGGAAGGTCTTCACATTTTTCTAAAATGAGAGAGTCCAATGTGTGACTTCTTCCGGAAGGTTTAACACATCTTTCGAAAGGTTTATGAAAACCTACCAAAAGGTTTTCAAAAAATCTGAAATTTTAAAAATGCATTGCCATACTTTTGGGTTATGTATTCTTTGGTTCCAAGGATATAAATGGACTATAATGGAGTATGAGAAGTGGTACGTTGCACCACGGTTAGATCCAACATAAAACGAATATTAGGGACGTCACATATTAATAACGTGGAGTCAAGTTGTGCGACTATCACGGGTATTTTCACGGGTTGATGGGGTCAACAGTTGATAAAAAGGACCCCCGATTTTAGGGACGTCACACTTCCACGTGTGTAATACATTCCTCAACTCACTTTGAAATTAACCCCAGTTAGTCAGCTATTTGACCTTGGAGTTTTGGTTCATTCCTCTTCATTTGGTTGTGTTGTGCAAGGTCCATAGTCCAAAAGACTGATTGAGACAAACCATAGAAAATGAGAGTTGTATGTGTTAAGTGAGCTCCATGTTCCTAAAGTTGTCACCTCTACAGTTGATTTGTCTTCTTTTCAATTGAATCTAGAATCATCTAGTTTTTATTTAAGGCATTCTTGTTTTATCATGTGTCTCATTCTCATTTTAAGTTTTTAGCATCTACTGGAAGTTTAGGTAGTTTAGAGTGTCATGACATTTCTGATTATTATGGATGCAAGTTAGCTAAATTTATTGTATCACCTTTTGCGCAAAGGTTTACTAGTTTTCTTGCACCATTTGATATTGTCCATTTTGATATATGGGGACCTACTCCAATTCCTATACAAAGGGGGTCTAGGTATTATGTCTCTTTTATTAATGATTATACCAGGTATTGTTAGGTCTATTTAATGAAACATCAATCTAAACTCTTTTCTATATTTATTGTCTTTCATGCAATGGTACACACCTAATATTCTTCTCTAATTAAATGTTTTCGATGTGATCAAGGAGGTGAATAAACTCTTCATTTCATGATTTGTTACAATCTGATGACACCCTTTATCAATCCTCTTATACTGACATACCTGAGTAAAATGAAGTTGCCGAGCACAAGCACCATCATATTGTTGAGACAACAAGCTCTCTTTTGTTGTCAGTAAATGTCTCTAGCACGTTTTGGGGTGAAGCAATGCTTACAATAGTTCATGCAATCAAGTGCATTCCTACTATTCTCATCTCTGGTATCTCCCCATTTAAAAAATTGTACGGTAAGACTCCTGATTATTTCTCCTTATATGTTTTTGGATGTACATGCTTTGTCTTGCTCCCTAGTGTTCATCGCACCAAGCTTTCTGCACAGTCAATTTTATATGTTTTTCTTGGTTATGCTGAGGGTTATAAAGGATATCGCCGTTATGATCCTATTACTCACAAAATTTATGTCTCTAGCCATGTTGCCTTTATGGAGCATATTTCAATCTTTTCCATTCCATCCAGCTTCTTATCTCTAAATAAATTTGATCTCTTTTATATTGATCCCTTTCCCATTGTTGTTCCACATGATAAATATTTGGGTGATATAACTGTGTCTAATTTATCATCTTTATCCTCCTTCTCTTTTGATTTGTTTATTAACTATGTATGGCCTAAATTATGATGAGCATTTTGCTCCTGTTATTAAAATGATCATTGTTCATACTGTGATCGTTGGAGCTTCCATTCAACAATGGAACTTGTCTCAGATAAATGTAAAAAATGTTTTTCTTCATGAGATTTTTATGACTCGTCCTCCTAGACTATCTCATTGTCCTGGCCAAGTATGAGGACTCCAAAATATTTTATATGGCCTAAAACAGAATCTTAGGGCATAGTTTGACAAGTTTTCTTCAATTATATGTGACTTGAATTTTCGTGTCCGTGATCATGATTGTGCTCTCTTTTTGCAGCCCTTTTCCTTAGATTCTATAATTCTCTTACTTTATATTGATGATATAATTCTCACCAGTGATGACACTGCTAGCATACAACTATTAAAAAATCAATTGCAGACTCATTTTCAAATAAAAGATTTGGATCAGCTTCGATATTTTTTGGGAATTGAGATTTGCTTCCTCTCCTATGCGTTATCTTATCCCTCAATCCAAGTATGCATTGGATGTAATTCAGCAAGCTCGCTTATCAAATAATCGAACAGTTGAGATATCTTTAGAGCTCAATTTTCGTTATTCTTCTTATGATACTTGTCTGTCTGATCCTACTCTCTAGTGCACTATTATTGGGAGTTTGGTATATCTTATTATTACTCGCCCAAACATCTCTTATGTTATTTATATTCTTAGTCAGTTTTTTGGCTCACCTACCATTGTACATTAGGCTGCACTTCTCTATATTCTTTGGTATCTTCAAGGTACGCTACATCAAAGTATTATTTTCTTCCTCGTCTTCTATGGAACTCAAGGCTTATTCAGATGTCAACTGGGTTGGTGACTCTATGGATCGCTAGTCTAACACTGGCTTCTATCTTTTTCTTTCTTAGAGATAACTTCCAGGAAAAGCAACAAGTAAACTGGTGACTCTATGGATCACTAGTCTAAGCTTCTATCTTTTTCTTTCTTAGAGATAACTTCCTGGAAAAGCATCAAGCAAACTGTAGTTGCTCGTTCTTCCAATGAAGCTGAGTATCATGCAATGATATCTACCACCATTGAAATAGTCTAGTTACGATGCTTGCTTGATGATCGTGGTGTCTTTTTTATCTACTCCTACTTCTATGTACTGTGACAACACCAATGCTATTCAAGTTGCTCACAGCTTTATCTTACATGCGCATACCAAGCATATTGAGATTGACTGTCACTTTGTGCACCATCATCTTCAGTTGGGTATAACTTCTCTCCCCTTTCTTACTTCTACTATGCAATTAGCAGATTTCTTTATGAAGTTGCATACTATAGCGCACTTCTATTTTCTTCTTGGCAAACTCAATATTTTCTACCACCGCATCATGAGTTTGAAGAAAAGTGTTAAGAGTATTCTACTATATTAGCCTTACAGTTAGTTTAGTCGTTTTCCTTTATTTATGTTGCCGTACTATACAAAGGCTTCTATTGTGTATCAAGGTTAATAATGTTGAACTTATTAATTATGCCTTAATAATATTCTCTTCTTCTTTCTTTCTCTTCTCTTCTCTTCTCTATGATTGATCAAAGTTAACAATATCCCGTCCTTACCCTCCTTAAAACAACCCCTCCCTTCCCCATGCCAGCGCCCCCTGCCGGGAGCTCGCAATCAACATTATTCTATTCCTTTTGCCCACAATGAAGTGGCAGTGTAAGAAATGGCTTCGACTTGGATAGGGGGAAGCAAGTAAAGTTACGAGTTGGTCAGAGTGCTAATGGATGGAGCCAACCAGATTGCAATCTGGTATGTTTTCCATGGACAGAGAGAAGTGGAAACACATTAGTATGCATGCATTCATACACGAACGCACATACACAGTTTATATGCTTTCTCTGAGCTCATTGCGGCCATATGATTGCCGTCTCTAATATTTATACATTTCATTGACCAGACAAATTTTGTAGCCAATAATTTTGCAAAACACCTCCAAACCATCACACACAAAAGAGGAAAGGAAAAAGAAATCCAATGGTATTGTATGTAATCCATACTTTGCAGTGACGCATCAACCTAAATTCATAAAAGGTATGTGGACAAGCCCATACAATTAAGCAGCGTACTCGTTGCGCCAGTCCAGGCTTATATTAAGAAATATGCATTAAAGAACTGATTCATGAAAGCATCACCTACATATTGAGAATCCCACATATGATGCAGCAAATAGTCATAACGACCACCAACAGCAAGTAATGTTCCTTCCATAAGTGGTCCAGCATTGTTCTCCTTCCTCAAATATATCTGTGCCACCAAAATATATACGCCCAATGAGATACGGAAACTATTAAATTTTTGGAGCGTAAAACACAAACACATGAATTCATATTGGTATTGTGGATATACACCTCTAATTTTGTAAATAGTCAATTGTAACACATCGAACCACATGTAACTGTAAACAATACGTACATCATATTATCACACTTTCTGGTATATATCCATATGCATAGGACAGTAGTGCGACTTGAATTTTGGGAGTTTTTGATGTTGGACAACCCATTTGCATGTTGATACTAAGTGCTCTGGGGTCATGCCAACAAATCATGGCAAGCATTCAAGTACTCGACACTGAAACACACCCCTTAGCTGCACTATGGATCATTTAGAATCATAAACTTTACAAAGGAAAGGTGTTGATACATCCTAGCATGAATTGAGTATAAACAGGGGTGAAACGTTCCACTGGCATTCACTATCTTATGACATATCTAGGACAACAATTAGCTGCTTTCAGTGAAATGATGGAAGCTGCTTGATATTAAAGCAATTGTAAAACCAAAAAGTTTGGATACCTGAAAAAACAAATCCCGGTGGTAACTCTCTGTTGGTGGCATAAGAGCATCTATGAATACATGTTTGTTAATCTTCCAAACTCGTAAATAGCTAAATAGATCTGCTAATTCGTCAAGGGCCTTGCGTGCAGGTTTATCTGCATTAGAATGGTTCTACTGGATGAGACATTTCCCCCCCCCCCCCCCCAGTGATTCAAATGAATGATATGAAATATTGATTAAGGATAACATACCAGCAGGAAGGGCACCTCTCAATCTGGGAAGGGCCTGATCTGCAACTCCACAGAACCTTAATCCGACAGTCTGCAATCTATTTACAGCAGCTTCTGGAAGATTAAGTTCCTGATAAAGAATGCACAAAAAGAAACTATAGATATTTCCATTTGTCATAGAATAGCAATACAACTGAATTTGTAAAATTCCACTACAACTGTTCATGACATGTCTAGATGTGGTAAATAATCATTCACCCAGAACAGTATTTGTGTGATACCAACCAAATGTTTCACCGGAATAATTAAAAGCATACTGATTCATTCAGGAAAAGGTAGAAACATATCTTTTTCCCAGTAAACTCGTGAGTTATGAATCAATGGCCAGAGTTTTATGACACAAATGTTTAGTCAATCCTGGTAAATATGATGAGCACTAACAATGTCAAAATAATTTGTAATGAATAGCAGAGCTGACTTACTCATTTCTGCCCTCTCACACGAATCTCATCACCTGTCATCCTACTTGGGATATTCTTTAAGTGACAGAATATAAAAGACATCCAGAGGATAACACTTTGGCCAAGTAACATGCTTTTATGTACCCCTACTATCCACCTACCCACGGGACGGAGAAGTCATGGCCCTGGACCATACAATTGATGGTGACTTAAACCATGCCTCCATTTTACCTCCCCCCCCCCCCCTTTCTCTCTCCCCCCTCTTATGTGCACTCAAAGCCACTCTTCCCAAATACTAGACAGAAAAAAACAAATTGACCGACTCATGATATCCAATTAACAACACTGCATAAGAATCCGTTTTTAGCTCCCTAGAAACATCCAATACTAACTGTTGGAGTTATAGACTAGTTTATTAGAGTTTTGCGTTTTTACCCATATTATGTCTTGTCTAGACCGGAGAGATGTTCAGGTCTTTATATACTATTGTTTGGTTATATATGCAGGAACTCTACACTTAATTTGTATCCCTTTTACTTACAATTTTCTCTAGTTGGTATCAGAGTAAACCCTACTTGCCATAAGTTTGATGATAAAGTGATTCGTTGTGTCATCAGTCTAAGGGATATCGGTGTTATGATCCTATCAGGCGCCGTATGTATTACAGTCTAGATGTTACCTTTCTTGAGCATATTCCTTATTTTTCTTATAGTATGATACCCCCTTTGATTTTCCGTTACCACACGAGCCAGAGCCATTCGTCACTGTCACACTAGAGTCATCAGCCTCTCCTCCTCCAAAGCCACTTGTCCTTACCAGTACAAAGTCTGTAAAACACTGGTAAATTTGAACTTTTAAAAAAAATAAATAAATAAATGGCAAAATGGTAATTTGTCACTATAATGCGTATTTAAAATACTCATGTTCTAAACCTCGAATGAGGAAACGGAGTTGGCCGTTGGGTTCGTATCGCAAAACTTAGTCACCTTGTCAAACTTCGTTAAATTCCAAGATAGTTCAATTTTTACACGTCGTTCGAGGCAACTGTGTAGCAAATAACATTTTAAAGGTCCCCAAAAATAAATTTTATAAAAATTCCTTAAAATTAAGTTAGTTCAAATAAAATTAATTTGAACTTAATTCGAGATATAATGAATCGTTTCGGGACAAAAAATGGATCCGGAAGTCGAAAATAAGCGATGCAATTTGGACTGCACATTAAGGGGGTATAAATAGGGGCAAATATCTCAAAAAATCAGATATTTCTCACCATTTTGTAGTCTTGTTTGGCCAGCCATAGAGAGAAAAGAGAGAGAAGAGAGAAAGCTTTGATCTTCAAGCTTCTTTTTCCGATCCAAGAAGTTCCGTCGCTTGGATCAACTCGAACCAAGAGTTAAAGTCGATCACCGCGACAAGGGCTACGTCTACGTACCAAGAAAAGTGGATTTCACCGAAGAACCAAAGAAAAGATTTTGGAGAAATCAAGTTCTTAGGCTATTGTTGAAGTTTTTGGAAGTTCTATCATTTCCTTCACGCTACAAGAGGTAGGGTCATTCCTACTTTGATTTTATTCCTCTCCTTTGGGGCTGTTCTAGTGCTAGTTTAGGGACTGAAGTTATGGACTGCTAGGGACTGTTTTGGGATGAAATTATGGACTGTTTTGGGGTAGAAAATAGGGACTGTTCTGGGATAAAATAATGGACTATTTTTGGACTACTTTAGTGGCTGAAATGGGGCTGCATGTAAGCGTCCAAATGGACTGTTTTACGGACTGTTTTTAGGCTGAAATTGTGCCTTTGTGATTGTGTTATTGGCATAAAAATTGTGATAACATGCTTGAAATTATTTTATGAAAATCGTCAATGTATATACATGTTTGTGCTATATTGACATTATACATTGACATTGTGAAAAATTATGAGAATTATATGCTTATGATATAATTTTGTCATAGAATCTGTGAAATGTGTTAATATTGTTCATATATCTTCCATAGCATAATGAATATGTTACCATTGTACAATGGGACATCATATTGCATATGCACGGTAACATTGCATTATATGGGTGTGTGCATGGTTGTCGCCAACACCACACTTGAAGGATGACGAGTAGACTCGATTAAGCTTAGTCGAAGACCTGGCCGATTCACACGTGTTGCATGGTAATTAGGGTTGGGGTTAACAAGAAGGGACTAGAAGATCCCTCGGGTGCAAGGCCTGGTGATTGGGATACGCACTCCCTTGGCTTGGCCGATGAAGTGTGTGGGTGTACGCGGAGCCCTTGGTGGAAGTCCATAAATTCTAAGTAGATTGGAGACCCTTGGTGTAAGCCCATGAACATCCACCCCATACAAAGACCCTAGATTGGTAAAAGTCATTGATGTGCAACATAAATGACAATTCCATACACATTGGCACTAGCATGTGTTGAGGAGCTGGGAAGGGCTCGGGTTGATGTTCATGAGTGAGTCACATCTCATTTCAAGGCATGACATGATAAATTACAACATTTAATGCATATTCTCACTTGGAATATTGATGTGAATATGAAATGTTGTATGTGAGCATTGCATGTACACTTAGGTGGGGAGTAGCCTCTATAGGAATTACTCTACTGGACGTAACTCACCTTATACGAAAAAACATTTCAGGTGCTGGATACACAACGGTGGACGGCCCTCACTTGGATCCTCAAGGGTGAGAGAGGCCGGATTGTAGCCTTTAACCTTGGTTTATGTAAAACTATATTTTGGGCATGTAATGTGTAAAAGAATTGTAACTGAGTTTATATGGACTGTTTTAATATAACAGTGCATATTTTTGTATGAGTATGGATAAATGGACCCGGTGTGGTCAATGTTTACTTTTAAATAGACCCGGTGTGGTCAGTATTGTATATTGGACTTCTGATGGATCATGTGATTATATAATTACAAAGGTTGTGTTTTGGATAGAGTTTCCTTTATAAAGGAGACTCTGCCCGAATTTTTATTAAATTATGGACCCCGGTAAATGGGACATAATGGCGTGAAATCGAATTACTCGATATCCACGGGTATTCCGCGGGTTGATAGGTAATCAACGGACCCCCGTATTTTGGGGTGTCATAGCTTGGTATCAGAATATAGATATACGAATAACCTAGGGCTTGATGGGCATAGGTCTAGACCATATGCATTTCATGTTATGTGCTCTACTTGCTACATGCTGTGTCACTTGTTCTGTTAATTATATGCATGGTAAAAGGTATATGGAAAGAAGAAACACTAGGGTTAAAAAACATAACCTTGGACTTCAGAAAAGAATGAACAGGATGGTTCGGGGCGTTAATGTCTATTAGTGGTTGACACATGCTCTACTAGTTAGATAAGGAGAGAAATCTCAAAGTTTAAACTTGATCCCTATTTTGGGATACTATGTAAGACTCTATTGTTATCTGACTTATGTAGATGGCTAATCGAGGAAGAGGACGTTGAGGCGGTGGACGAAACAACCAACCCCCACCGGCCTTTGACCAACAAGCCTTAGTGGAGGCTATTGGTGCTGCAACTACTATAATTGCACAAGCTAGTGCTACAGCTGCTATCATTGCACAGGTTGGTGCAAGTGGGAGTCAAGGAGGCTCGAGTCACCTCCAGAAATTCAAGGCACACCAGCCTCCGATCTTCAAGGGAGGGGCGGATCCAATGGTAGCTGACCATTGGTTCCGGCAAGTTGACAAAATCTTGAAGGCTATGGAGATCACCTCAACGCCACCAAGATAACACTAGCAACATTTCAGCTAGAAGGAGAATCCCAGGTGTGGTAGGATTGGGTCAAGGACTCAAAGAATTTGGAGACCGTGACTTGGGTAGAGTTCAAGGAGCTTGTTATGAGCAAATATTTCCCCGCAGCTGCTAGACATGCAAAGGTCCAGGAGTTCCTAGAACTCAGATAAGGGACGATGACGGTGATGGAATACGTGGCTAAGTTCGCAGAATTAGCCTGTTTCGCTGACGACTATATAGCCACTGATATGGCCAAGGTGAGAAAGTTCGAGGATGGCTTGAAGTTGTCCATTCGAGGCAAAATTGTGTGCCTCCTATAGCAAGACTTGGACTCGATGGTCACGACAGCTATGGCCATTGAGAGGGAGGTAGAAGATGCACGGAACATCCGGGAGGCGGGTGTTAAAGACAAGAAGAAGGAGGGCCACTCCTCTTCTTCTAGTGCTGCGAAGAAGCAGAGGACTTCTGCTCCGCAGGGGCATCAAGGGCAAAGCCGCGGCTATCAAGGCCAAGGCCAAGGTCAGTCCCCCCAAGGCGGGAGAAACTTCAGGACTACGTATCAGGCAGGTCAAAAGACTTGCTATCATTGTCATCAGTCGGGCCACATGAGGAAAGATTGTCCTCAGCGACAGGGATCCTAGTCCCAGTCTTCAGTGGGGTACTCACAGACACACTCTATTCCTCCCTACCCCATCATGGGCCAGGGGAGCCAATACCAGTTTCAAGGCGCTGCACAGGACCCTACTACTTCACGAGAGGGGATTCCGCAAACAGGCCAGGGCATGGGTCGAGGTCGAGGCCAAGGCTCACAAGCCGGGACTTCGGGAACCCAGGGGTGTGTCTACGCCATGATACCACAGACTGAGCCGGCAGATCCATCGATGATACTAGGTACATTTCTACTCTCTCGCTTATGGGCAAGAGTATTATTTGATTCATGTGCGTCTCATTCTTTTATTTATGCATCTTGTGTGAAAGACTTGGGCTTAGAGGTTGAAACCTTGGAAGAGCCATTGCATGTGAGTTCTCCCCTAGGAGCTAAGGTGAGCGTTGATCAGATATGTCGGGGTTGTGAGTTAGAGATCTCGGAGATTCTACTCATCGTGGACCTTAGGGTCATGGACATATCGGAGTTTGATGTTATCCTTGGTATGATTGGTTGACGGCACACCGAGTCGTCATTGATTGTGATCGTAAAAGGGTCACTGCCTATACACCGGAAGGTGTTTGTTTCAAGTTCTAGGGAAAAGCATGATGCTTTACCCCAAGCAGTGTACAATTCTCGATGGCACGAGCAGTTGATGAGTTGACTTGCGAGCCTTACTCTGGAGGATGAGGTGAGACAGGAGTTGGGTCCATACACATTGGTACTAGCATGTGTTGAGGAGTTGGGAAGGGCTCGGGTTGATGTTCATGAGTGAATCC